TATCACCCATTCATCATCTACACCTCGCAGTGCAGACGTAAGACACCTTAAAACACGAAGGTGGCAACAGTGTATATGTGGAATCGTTAGATCTGCCATCCATTCCAACATTTACAGATTTCTGTTTTATTTGGTTTGTAAACTTCTCGCTGGGTTGTGTTGTAAGAAATGAGTGTCCACACTAATACAGACAAACTTGAAAACACTGTTTTTGTGTCAAAATGTTTTCCCTTCACATGTATTTACATTGTTTTCAAAGTTGTCCGTCTACACCGAAACACCGAGACGAAAGGAAAAGCATGTGCACGCTACCTGAGCCAGTTCACACCATTTCTGCCCAGCAGGGCTGTTTTCTTTGGCTGGACTGCAGTGAATATGAAGTGCTTTGTCTTGTACACAGTAATAAGAGGCGTCTGTTGTAGACTGTAATGTTCATTTCTACAAAGAAAGCGGACAAAAACAAAGGTAGAGCCTACAACATTCTGATTAACTGATCCTCTGTTTTATTATTGGATTATCAAAACGTTTTAGCAGCACTTTAACGTTAGCGAAGCTGCAGCTAACGTAATCGCTATTTGAATTTGCTGAACCACAGAAAGGTAACATTAATGTTAGCCGTTGCAAACTGCAATGTGTTTCGTTTTCTTGCAAGTTTTCGTGTGAATCAAATCGACCAGCCATTTTAACTGAGTTATAACTTAAAGCTACTTTGAAACTGTAGCTGTGTCCCAATTCAGGGGCTGCATCCTTCAAAGGACGCGGCCTCTGAAGGTGTGTCCTCCGAAGGCTGCGTAGACCCGAGAAGGCTGAACCGAAACGTCTGCCCTACGGTGGATTTCCTGTTTGTGTCCCAGCACGGCTATTCCCGCCCTCAGTGCTGCATCACGAAACGCTCCAGTTCTTTAAAGGTAAAGCCAGAAACTTTGATTTTAGTTTTTTATTTTTTCATTTATCAGAGCTGGAGGTGCTTCTCTCTGTCGGCTCTTTGCTCTCTAAAACAAACGAAACGTTAGCGTAAGTTTTGCTTCAGACCACATTGCCTTTTAACATCTGTATCGTTTGCTATTTGACTCAGTTTAAACCCAACACATACATTTAAAGTGTCTCCTCAGTCGCTGTTCGCTCCTCTGCTGACGCCGCCATGTTCTCGAATCCTCACAGTGAACCTGTTAGTTGGCAGTTTACATTCAAACTAAGCTACAATTGAACTTACGTTCAGCTGGTGCAACTGGCTGCAGTTCCTCAAATCCACACTAGAGGACAAAAATACAATTTTCAAATCTCTTTGGGAAAAAAGCTGAACAGAGTTTTCAAAAATGTGCATTTTCAGTGCAAAACACTGCATGGTTTTTAAAAAATGTATACAGTGTCAAAGTAAAAGTTAATTTATATGGCGCTTTTTACAGCAGATGTTGTCACAAAGCAGCTTTACAGAAAAATCCAGGTCTGAGCCCCCATGAGCGTCGCCAATGGAGACAGTGGCAGGAAAAACTCCCTAAGAGCAACAGGAAGAAACACTGAGAGGAACCAAGACTCAAAAGGGGAACCCATCCTCCTCTGAACCACACTGGATAGCAAACAGTGTTAGTATAAAATACTATAATACAAAACAGGGAAAAACAGGTGGAGCAATGGTTAATTAGATAGTTTGAGTTTATGCAGCAGCAGCAGCATTGGGAGGGTCAGTTCATGAGGGTGAGGTTTGCACAGCGTTGTACAGCATGAAGCTCAATGGTGGTCAGAACGGTCCAGAAAGCTGGTGAGCAGTGGACACCAGCAGTGCTGTGCGAAAGTCAGAGATCACCTTTCGTTTGTTTAATTTCCGGTCAAAAATGACCATTTATTTTTCAGTGTCAGGAAAAGAGCTTAAACATATGTAACAGAAAATGACACAAAAACCTCTAACACTAATTATAATATCAGATCTGTAAATATTTAATTTGTTTAATTTGCACCGTACTGTCACTTTAACTCTTCCACCCTTCCATCCTACAGTCCCAGAGAACACGGTGTAAAATATTAAAGATGTTTGTATGGTACTAAAAGTGTGTTAAACATGCAGAAAAGTTTGAACACAAACAAATAAAAGCAAAATATTATTATTAAGTGCCGTCAAGTTGTTTCTGACTCCTGGACAGTGTTTCTCCAGAATGTTCTGTCTCCTGTTTGGGTCTTCAGGCTTCTGAATGGCTGATTTATGATTCCTCTGATTGTCTCCATCCATCTTGTAGCTCCTCTCCCTCTTTTACCTTTGACTCTTCTGAGTATAACAGTCTTTTCCACTGAACCAGTTCTTCTCAGAATGTGTCCAAAGTAAGGAAGTTGGGTTCTCTGGGCTCTGAGTGAGAGGAGAGGCTTTATTTGTTCGAGTATCCATTGATTTGTTTTCTTCGCCAACACCAAAGTTCAAAGGCATCGATATTTTTCCTGTCTTGCTTGTTTATTGTCCAGCTTTCACATCCATACAGAACCACAGTGAAGACCTCTGATGTTTCTTTGTAGAGACAAATTGTTACATTTGAAGATCTTTTCAAGCTCCTTCATCCTTGTTCTGCCGAGCACTGAACTCAGTTGTATTTCTTGATGGATTCTCTGGTCTTAATAATTGATCTGAGTGGGCAAAGCTGCCCACCATCCCCACACTTTCTCCATCAGTGCTAAAGTTAGTGTCTTTCCTCTCATCATAACCTCAGTCTTCTTCATACTGAGCTGAAATCACATTTGTTCACTCAGTTCTTCATCCTTCCTTATGTTCCTTTTCAGATGTTCCGCTGTGAGTGTCGTATCATCCACATGTTGAAGGTTATTGATGTTTCTTCCACCAATCCTGAATCCTCCATCATCTTCCTCCAGTCCTGCTTTACTCAAGAGCAAGAAATGGAATAAAGCACAGCTTTAAAAACGCTGATCAGACCTGTCAGAACTGCCCAGGCGTGGCCTAATATTCTAACGAGCCTGCATGATTGACAGCCCTCAGTCCAGCCTGCTTTAACACTGAAGCAGAACTAAACAGAAAAGCACGAGTGAAGCGGAGAACTGAGTGAAACGGCTCACATACAGACCCCACTGTGTCCACTATGTCCACTCACTAAACACATCATCCAGCTTTTATATGGAGAACATGAAAAAAGGTTCTTATTCACTTTACTGCTGGATCTTTTATATGGAGAACCGTAAAGAAGGTTCTCATTTACCTAACTGCTGGGAATGTGTATCCAAGGGAATGCTGGAGGGGTCGGTCAGCGAACAAGAGAACAAAAAGAATGAATGAACAAATTGACGGATGGATGAACAAACAGATGAATGGAGGAACAGAGAGACAGACAAATGAACACGCAGACAGATTCTTGCTAGGTTAGCTTTTGCTTAGTAGTTAGATTTCACTCAGTGGTTAGCTTTCGCTTGGTGGTTAGCTTTCACTTGGTGGTTATCTTTCGCTTGGTGGTTATCTTTCGTTTGGTGGTTATCTTTCGCTTGCTAGGTTAGCTTTCGCTTGGTGGTTATCTTTCACTTGGTGGTTATCTTTCGCTTGCTAGGTTACCTTTTGTTTGGTGGTTATCTTTCGCTTGCTAGGTTACCCTTCGTTTGGTGGTTATCTTTCGCTTGCTAGGTTAGCTTTCGCTTGGTGGTTATCTTTCGCTTGGTGGTTATCTTTTGCTTGCTAGGTTACCTTTCGTTTGGTGGTTATCTTTCGCTTGCTAGGTTAGCTTTCGCTTGGTGGTCAGCCTTCGCTTAGTGCTTAGCTTTTGTGTGTTAGGTTAGCTTTCGCTTAGTGGTTAGCTTTCACTTGCTGGGTTTAGCTGTAATGTTCCTCTTCAAAGAGACAGACACTCACATGAGTAACCTTCAAAATTCATCTTAGCTGCCTTAGTTGTTAGGGAAATTTTCTATTTCTGGTGTTTGTGAAGCTGAAAAATTAAAAACTTCATGGCAGTTTTGACTGAAGACAAAATGAAATTAGGTTTTGCACAGTACTTTATACATTAGCATGGACAGCGCCTTAGATATCTTCATCCAGTTTAAATGTAAGTACATAAAGCCAAGCATTTGATCTCCAATGTGAAGAATGGAAAGTCAGGAGTTTTTGTGTCATTTTATATTATCTAAAACCACAAAACAGTTAACAGCATGTCTTCAGCACCTCTGATTACAAAGAAAACCTTTTCACTTTTCACTGTGCAGAACCACGGCTCCAGTGTAACGCTGTGCAGTTGGTGACAGTTTTCTTCTGGGATGCATTAAAAAGGTTCTACACTGCTGTGTCCATGTGCTGCTGCAGTTATATGTAATGTATGCTGCCTTAAAATGCAGGCATGGTAGCAATACTTTCCAGAAACGCTGATTCAAACTTTTTTTTTAAACACTATAAGGAACCGGCCTGGCCTTGGGCTGGGGGACCCCCTCTCTGAGAGTGAGTGGGATATATAGAGCTTTATGTGCCTCCTGGTGGGTCAGAGGAGAGTAAAAGCCTCCACTCGGCTGGAGACCGCAGAGTGCTGACTGCTCACTTTTCTTCCGCTCTGCTAATGAGCCCTCTCCCTCTGCACACGGAGCACAGCTCGGGCCACAACCCCCAAATATCTGACCCTCCGTTCACGTCTTCTATCTCTTAATCTCTCCCGCTTTCAATTTCCGCTGTTTCTGGCTCACGCTGCCACCCTCTCACACCCACCAGCCGTTTCGGCTCTGTTTTCTGGTTTCCCTCATGAAAAGTGCGCAAGGTAACATAACCGCGCATGGCAACTAAGCAGAAACAACAACCGATACAAGATGCCCTCCTTCAGCGCATGAAAGACTAAACCTATTGTTCCTGCTCACCAAAACAGCCCAGCGAAAAAAAGAGTTCAGAAGAGAACACAGTTCTGGCTCGCTTCAATGGACCTTGTCGAGCAGGACTACAGGGAAGGGGATCAAATGAAGCCGTTTCCCAGAAGTGCCTGTAAGGGTGCAGTGACCTAGCAGGCCAGGGGAGCTGGGAGAGCAGGTAGGTGGGGAGTGGGTCAACAGGGAGATGGTGGGCGGAGACAGAGTAGGCGGGGAGCTGATTGGTGAGAGCAGGGTAGGTGGAAAGCTGGTGGGTGGGGAGCTGGTAGGTGGAGGGCAGGTAGGTGAGGAACTGGTAGGTAGGGAGCAGGTAGGTGGACAGCAGGTAGGTGGAGGGCTGGTAGGTGGGGAGCTGGTAGGTAGGGCAGTTGGCAGGTGGAGAGGTGGTAGACGGGGAGCGGGTGGGTGAAGTGCTTGTAGGTGGGGAGCTGGTAGGCAGGGAGCTGGTAGGTTAAGTGCTGGTAGGGGGAGCTGGTGGTTGGAGAGCAGGCAGGTGGAGAGGTGGTAGATGGAAAGCTAGTGGGTGGAGAGCAGGTAGGTGGGGAGCTGGTAGGTGGAGAGCAGGTAGGTGGAGGGCTGGTAGGTGGGGAGCTGGTAGGTGGGGAGCTAGTAGGTAGGGAGTTGGTAGGTGGAGAGGTGGTAGGCGGGGAACTGGTGGGTGAAGTGCTGGTAGGTGGGGAGCTGGTAGGTGGGGAGCTGGTGGGTGGAAAGCTGGTAGGTGGAGAGCAGGTAGGTGGGGAGCTGGTAGGTAGACAGCTGGTAGGTGGAGAGCTGGTAGGTCGAAAGCAGGTAGGTGGGAAGCTGGTGGGTGGGAAGCTGGTAGATGGAGAGGTGGTAGGTGGAGAGCATTTAGGTGGGGAGCAGGTAGGTGGGAAGCTGGTAGATGGGGAGCAGGTAGGTGGAAAGCTGGTGATTTGGCAAGTGAGATCTCAACGTATAAAAATTGCTGTCATGAGCTGCTATTTTTGCACTTGCAGGGCGCTGTGAGGCAAAATAGTCCCCAAAGAAAACTGATTAGTTCAGATTTCCACTATTTTCCATCATCAACATTCATATAAACTCAGAAGACTCGTGTAGGTTCACTGGTGGTTCTGGATAGTAAATAAAATGTCTATATCTGTGTTGTAGTCATGGCGACCCCTGGTTCCTATCACCACCACTGTAAAGACATCTGACCGTTTTCCAATTTCTGTTTGCTTCTTAGAATTTACTGTTCTGGAATATGTAAATGATATCTGTTCTGATTGGCTGCCGTGTATTGTTCCTCATTAAAAAAGCACTCTGGGTGGAGACGCTCTTCATAGCGTCAGTGTGAAAGGGCAGAGCTAAACTGCTGTAGTAGACTGACTGTAGTGGGGAGAGGTATGTTTTGAAACTTTAACCGTGTTTACAGACTACACTGAATTTTTGTTCCAAAGAAAAAACAGAAGGAAAATTCAGTTTTACCTTTAAAAGGTTGAAGTAGATGCTTTCTGCCTTGACATGAAATGCTTAAAGTGGGTTCATCACTCATATGGAAAAAAATTATGGACATGTATTTTAATATATTTGAAATACATTTCAAACACACTGTAGTTAAGCTGAAATTCATTCAAACACTAAAATGTGTTTCAGAATATTTTGCCATATTAACCAAATATATTTTAAAATGCATTTATTTTAAAATGTATGTGGAAATATTACACACAGAAATGTTCCATACAGAAATAATTGTGTGTAAATGTGTTTATCAAATCCATCTGAAAATGTATGCAAATATCCAGAATCCTGTCTGATGCTCTTCACTGTCTGATACCTTTAGAAATGAATTTGTGTTCCAGTATCTTCATTTTAAATCTGATCTAATGATCCTTTATCAGGACAGAAGCGAGTGTTGTGGGTATTGATACTCTGTGAAAATGCAGTTATGATCTGATATCTTGTTTATGTGAAATACATTGTGTGTGAGAGTCTGACTGCAGACGTACATGGTTAATGTAAAGTACAGTGCAGATCACAGAAGTCAGTGCTGTTCATTCAGATCACGGATATTTAGTTTTATCCGTAATCTTTGTTAAAAGGCCATTTTAATACATTGCAAAAACATATTTGATAAATACATTTGGAATACATTTTTTCCATATGGGCAAATGTAAAAAAGCATCTTTGCCATGGTGGTGGTTAGATTCTGAACTGAAGGTGACCAGGAAAGGGTTAATACGCAGCAGGAAAGCAAAGAAGAGGCGTAGGGGGATGTCGAGATTTCAGCAGAAGTGCTTTCCCAGTCCCCACGACACTCCACCACAAAGTGTCTGCTGGAATTCTATCACAAAACAGCTCTGAGAGCCAAAGGTACGTTAATCACAGGGTGTGAAGGAGAGCCCAGAGGAGAAGCCCGGCTCTTTTTCCCTGCAGTTCCAGCAGCGACGGCTTCCCTGCTTTACATAGACAGACACGTGCAGCCCAGGCCTGCCATCACACTTTCCATCAGCGCGCTGTCAGGCGTCCTGCTATTGGATATTTACAAGCAGTGGAGAAAAAAGAAGTGACAGGAAAACCGAGCACTTATCTGCTTTTAATGGGGAGCGGAGAGGCAGGCCTGAGCGCTAATAACTTACAGAGGCAGTGAGGTAGCAGGCGTCGTCCTAACTTCACCACTCATCAGAGGCTCCTCAGAGACTGTACCTGCTTACAGCGCCACCCTACAGCGCGCCACGTACCACCACCTATTGTATACAAGCTTGACACCGAAACAATAGCAGAACCTTTTTTGGTACTATACACAACCATATGCAACTTTCTAATGACAATTTTACCACGCAAAGAACCATTTAAGCATGCAAATGGTTCTGTGAGCATTCATGGTTCTATACAGAATCATTGTCTTTACTAAAGAACCCCTGGAAAACCAGAGTGTAGATATAGTTAAGCGAGCTCTCCTTCTGGTTAGGACTTCAGGAGCTAAAGAGAAGTCCTAACATCTTACATTAGCTATCAGCCGAACTGTGACATCACAGAGGAATCAACTAATCACATTTTGATTTACAACGAATGGCACCAATTTCAACGAAAAAACATAACTCTAGGCCTAGAGTTCTAGATACGTCACTGTCTGAGTACTGCCTGATTAATATGTCTGTCACAAGCTTAGAGGAGGTTTTAACATATCTACACTTCAAATTCAATGAGGGGTGCACAAACTTTTACACACCAATGTACACTAATACTAATCAAGGAAAAAAATATTTCAGACAAATGCTCAAAAACACTAGGGTGACCAGACGTGCCCATTTTCCGGTCCCTGTTTTTGGTGGCCTGTCTGTTTTTAACAGTGAAGTAAAAACACGGGCAGACGTCTCACGCTGTGCTTGTTTTGTCCAGCAGAGGACGCAGCTGCCGCTATCGACTGACCACTTTCACCACACGCTCGCAACACTGCTGAAACTCCACCAGGAGCTCTCAAGTGTCCAGTGAGTCCACAACATCACCACAAACGCTTTTTCAGGCCTCGAGGTGACCCAGGGGTTAAAGCAGGGGTGGAGTTACGGGACTGAATCGCTCTACCAGCTGATCGGGGGCTCTGATTTGTACAGACAGTCTAGTTGAATGAGATCCACAAACAGAGCATCATTTTTGAACTGCATCACTTTTTCAGCCTCCATATATGACATATGGTGTATGCTGATAGCGTCTCTGTCTGTCCAGAACTGGAGCTGCCCAGGGGTCAGTGTAGGGTCTGTTTATATGGCTACAGCCACAAGTCTCTTATCTGTAGCCATGGGCCAAAATATTTAATAAGAATATGAATTATGAGCTCCTACAGCCACTGAATCTTTAGTGGTAAACGTGTCTCTGCCTCATTCCTGCCTGAGCCGCTAGACTTACTGACTTTTGAGGCCCTTTTCACTGAGCGACTATATTTCTAAAAAGCAATAAACGATAAACCTTGTGGAGGAGGAAAGCAAGAAGTATAAATATTTATAGGATTATTGTGATTTATTTCCACACTGTAAAAAATTGCATTTTGTCAAGTGAAATGATCTTAAATCTAAATTTTATATCTAATATTTCCCATTTTGAGATGGTTGGGTATTTATTATATAATTATCCAGTTTATTTCTAGACTTTTTTTACTTTTAAGTGATTTTATTAAGTAAAATTATCTCACTATACTGGCAGATAATTTTGCTGGTTTAATGCACATTTCTCAAGCACAATGATCTACAACTATAGTGAGATAATTTTACTTACTAAAATTACTTAAAACAAGTGAAAAATGCCTAGAAATAAGGTAAATAATCATAAATTAAGCTTATATTCAGAAATACTAGATTTCTTGACTATGTTTAAGATAGTTTATTTCACAAGATACCATTTTTTGCAGTGCAAGCATGCTGACCTTTTCTTTATTGAGTGTTTCACAGTTGACCAGCTTCACCCACCATGTTACACTACTGTATGATTTTCTGACGTTTTAGTAAGTTATTTAGTTAGTACTCAATTTTATCAGCATAGTTTATTACAGTACAGCAGTTATCATGGTCAAAATATGTGAAACTGGAACGACCCCCTCTTTTAAAGATAAAAACATTGGATACCTTAATAATATATTAATCACAGTACTAAAAATGTCCTGGTTTCATTTCAGAAATCTGGTCATCTTAGAAAAGGCAGCTGGTTTTGGGAAAATGAGACACATTGTATCACAATCATGTGATTACTGTGTCACTTCTTCACATGTACTCTCGCTTCATTGCGCCACCGCAGGCCCAGCAGGAGTAATTACAGCACCTGTAGCTCAATAAGCCGAGTGCAGCGTGTGATTAGAGAAATCTACAGCGCTTTCATCAGCTCTGATACAGCCTCCACGCAGAACCCTCTCATTTACGTTATTTACACCACCGCAGTGTCTGTCTGCCCTGCACTTACTTTTCCTGCTCCTCTCATTCATGAAACGCCTTTTATATTCACTCTCAGCCTCGTTAGTCTTATTATTCAGGCTACTTCAGATCTTTTATCACTCTCTACCCTTCTCTGACTCTCAGTCTCTGCAGCCAGAGGGGTATTTTAACATCACCAGACTGTCTCTTTGGCCTCCAGTTCATTTCAACATTATTTTATTAAAGCTCTGAACATCTTCACACGTCTCTGAACTCCTGACAGATGCTGTTCTATCGATTCTGGACTTACCATACAAGAAGAGCGATGCCTCATCTGTAAATACAGTTTTATTTTAAACCAGTTCTTTCAATTAGCACCAAGCGCCAAAGGAACACATTAGCATTTAAGCCAGGGTGTCCAACTTTGGAGAGGCAGATAGCTGTCTGGAGTGAGACTGTAGTGAGATTTTCAGGTGTTTGGAGTGAGACTGTAGTGAGATTTTCAGGTGTTTGGAGTGAGACTGTAGTGAGATTTTAAGGTGTCTGGAACGAGACTTAAGTGTCTGGAGTGAGACTGGAGCGAGATATTCCAGTGTCTGAAGTAAAACTGGAGTGAGACTGGAGTGAGATTTGCTGGTGTCTGGAGTGAAGCTGTAGTGAGATTTTAAGGTGTCTGGAGTGAGACTGGAGTGAGACTGTAGTGAGATGTTCTGTTGTCTGGAATGAGACTAGAGTGAGACTTCGTTTTCTGGAGTGAGACAGGAGTCAGATATTTGTGTGTCTTGAGTGAGATGTTCAGGTATCTGGAGTGAGACTGGAGTAAGATTTCTGGTGTCTAGAGTGAAACTGTTGAGAAATCTTCAGGTGACTGGAGTGAGACTGTTGAGAGATCTTCAGGTGTTTGGACTGAGACTGTAGTGAGATTTTCAGGTGACTGGAGTGAGACTGTAGTGAGATTTTCAGGTGTCTGGAGTGAGACTATAGAGAGATCTTCAAGTGTCTAGAGTGAGACAGAAATAAGATATTTCGGTGTCTCGAGTGTGATTTTAAGGTATCTGTAGTGAGACTGTAGAGAGATTATCAGGTGTCTGGAGTGAGGCTGTTGAGAGATCTTAAGGTGTTTGGAGTGAGACTGTAGTGAGATTTTTAGGGGTTTGGAGTGAGACTAGTGAAATTTTCAGGTGTCTGGAGTGAGACTGTAGAGAGATCTTCAGGCTTCTGGAGTGAGACAGAAGTATGATATTTTGGTGTCTCGAGTGTGATTTTAAGGTATCTGTAGTGAGACTGGAGTGAGATTTTCAGGTGTTTGGAGTGAGACTGCAGTGAGATTTTCAGGTGTTTGGAGTGACACTGGAATGAGCTTTTCAGGTGTCTAGAGTGAGACTGTAGTGAGATTTTCAGATATATGGAGTGAGACTGGAGTGAGATTCTTTAAGGTGAGAACCCAATAGCTCCAGCTTTCTATAGTCACTCTATCCTTTGTGCAAATTCACCCCACTTCGCTTCACTCTACACTGCACTCACCCTGGCTGCACCAGTCACACAAAAAGGCGAGCTGTGGGAGTCGATCTCTTATCAATACAATTCCTAAGGTAAATATTTGAGTTTAGTCTACAGAGAGCTGAGTTTAGCCCAGTTACAGAGAACATACATCAGATAAACAGACTCTGTTTGGTTTCTATGTGTAGTTTTGTACACTGGCTTTTATTTACTCTGCGTTCATAGAGAATCAGTCTTATACTGAGTCGGTCTACGAACATGAATTAGTTCAGCTGGACGTTCAAGTCACTGAAAAGAACAGTTTGAAAGAACCGGTTCTATAAAAGAAACTTCCATCACTAATCAGGAAAATGAAGCCTTTTCTTTTCAACATTTTGGAATCTATTAACCTAAACTAATTAACCATGTAATGCCTGGCTTTTCATTTAGCATTCAATTAACATGTGCTATGTTTTTTTTTTTTTTAATAATTAACTGATTTTAATCATTTCATTACCGTTTACTTTTTTCATTGTTTATTTTAATTTTTGAAATTATTTTTTACTTACTATTTTAATTATTTTACCATAAATATTAAGAATAAATATATATAGATGTCTACATTCACTTTAAATCTTTCTTAAGTGTTTTTGTTAATCTTGTTTTTAATATTTGCATCTAAAGCATCCTGGGCTGCATTTTACATATGCAATATAAATAAAAATTATTATTAATAATGCTAATTATAATAGCACCTTTGTTGATGGTTAGAGCTACGCTCTGTATTGATTAGCAGAGAGATCAGACTCTGGTGTGCTATTGATCTGACGGCGCCAGCGTGCCTGAGAATGGAATATAAATCTATTAAAACACAGCGAGAGATCCTGAACAGCTGTTTCTTCTCCGCTCTGCTCTCACAGCTGGTGCTCCTGCTTCACATTTTTAACCACACAGTCACACTTTCGCTCCCTGATCTGACAGAGCTTTCACTGAGCTCACATTCTCAGGAAGAGCCTGACTGTGATTGACTGTTTGAACATTAAACTGTTTAATGTCAAATATAATGACCTCTGAACAATTTCCTCCTAACAATGAGTCACATACGGTCAGCAAACGGTTCCTCAGCCATGTCTGGAGCCTCATATGAGAGCACACATTTGCATATTTAACACACATCACTCAAGATAAGAGTCAACATAGCTAATTTACACACCCGTCATTCAACACAGGTCTGTCTGCTTTTATCCAATATCCAATATTATCTAAATACAACTGTTTAACAATATTTAAAGTCTCTCCTACCAGCACTGGTGCATCCCAAGAGCCTGTGTGGTCATGCGAGCCAGTAGCGGGACGCTACATAGCAGCCCTTTCAAAGGTCATCCATCTTGGGCCCTTCTCCCGCAGTCTCTCCGCAGCAGGGGTCTCGGAACATCCACCATCCCGGTACTCCATCATCTACTCGGCCACACGCACCGCCAGTCCCTCAGGGTGCCACAGCGGAGCGACTGAGCACTGTGTCCTCCTCTCCACACGTGGCGGAACTCCTTGCTGGTGGGGCACTTTCCCAATTCTGACACCAGTGTGGTGTCACTGAAAAAGAAAGCACAGGAAACATAGTGGTTCAAGCAAATGCTCTTTTATTAAACACAGCAGCAGGGGAGAACCACTCAACTACAACAACTTATTTACATTTAAAGTCTCTCTTACCAGCATCGGTGCCTCCCAAGAGCCTGCACGTGTGGCTGCTCTGCATAGCCACGCCTCCTGCACTTCTACGGCCGTGTGATGCTACAAAATCAATTCTAATCCAATAACCGAAATGAACTGAAATGTAATTGGATTACGTAACTAAGCCAAAACAGAAGAGCACATATACATATATATGATGTGACAAATCAGAGCAAAATTTAATTTGAACTTCTAACAACATTTAATTAGTTTAAATTATCTTATGTTGTTATATTTCAATTATATTAAATTACAGCTTCAAATGCCTTTATGCAGGAGCAATAGCAGCTTACGTGCGAGTTTTATGCAAAAGTTTGTGCACCCCTGGTCAATTTTAATTTTCTTGGTGTAAGTAAGCAAATAAACACATGCTGTACGGAAAACATTCTAATGTACAATAACAGTTTATTCACTGAATTTATCATATTGGGAAAAAAGCATAAAACATGGCCAAAAATTCCACCTTAAACACAGCAAATAAATAAAAATTGTACATTAAAATTTGCAGAAAAATGCCATATTTCAGTTTGTTCTCTGCAGATGTTGTATTAACTCATTTTCACTTTAATAAAACATATAATTCGGTCAGGGACACACAGACTGTCCTGAGTTCTGTCACTGTAAACACTTCAGCACTGAACTTCTTTCACCTCCCTTGACACACACGTCTTATCTACACGACAGAAATGCAAACAATTTGATTTGGAGCTGTTGTCCTAAGCGTGTTTGGGAATGCCCTGGCAGGAGGTGGGTAAGGCGAGCCGGGGCGGAGAACGCAGAGTAAATTGTGATGAAAAGTGGTGACCCAGAGCTCCGGCGCCCAGACAAAGCTGCCTCTGATGAGCCCCAGACGAGGGAATCACCTTCTCGCAGTTCCACCAGCCGCCCTCCTCTCTGGCTGCTGTCCAGACCTGTATTTATTTATTCCTCAGAGCTCATTAAACGCGCCGGAGCCCCTTTTTAACCGGAGCTTCATCTGAGCGCACACAGGAGACGGGCAGAGCAGTGGAGGAGTTTGGATTACAGGCCCAGAAGGCTCAGCCTCGCTGTCTGTATAGTCTATTGTGCGCTAATGATGCGTTCTGGCGCTCCTCGTAAACTTTCCAATTTCCAGATTTACCACAAAGAAGGTTCTGCTTCAAACCAGACACAAGCACAAGTGGTGAACCTTCAGGTTCCCTGTTACCAAAGTTTATGAAGGTTCACCAGCCAGAACATTCTCTGATACTGCACTGCATGATCACTGTTTGCTATCTGGTGTGGACCAGAGGAGGATGGGTTCCCCTTCTGAGTCTTGTTTCCTCTCAGTGTTTCTTCCTCTTGCTCTTAGGGAGTTTTCCTGGCCACTGTCATCATTGGTGTAAAGCTGCTTTGTGACAACACCTGTTGTACAATGTGCTATTTAAATAAACTTTACTAACCTTGACCTGGTAGACAAGCTGGAAAACAGCGATCAATCATAATATTGTGTGCAGTTAGTTGCGATAAATCACATTTGTCAAATTCACAATAACAAAATGTTGTTTTAATTTATAAAGCAGTGCATCTTTTACAGCCACAGGTATAATAAGCTACACCAGAATGTATTTATTCATTTCAATAAAAATACTTTGGATATTTGACAAGAAAATCTCATCTTTGGTAAAGATAATGGTTCTTTATAGACCCATGAACACTCAAAGAACCATCTGCATGCTAGAAACGGTTCTCTGCATGGTGAAAATGTTCTTCAGATTGATGGAGAATGTGTTGTATATGGTTCTATGTAGCACCAAAGGGTTCTTCTATTGTTAAAGGCTTGACATTGCAACAGGGGAAGAACGCTTTTTGGTGCTATATAGAACCGTTTTCAAAAAGCTCCTATACAGAACCACAGAAAACACTCTCTCCATCAATCTGGATGACCCATTAATGATGTAAAGAGCATCTCAATCATGCAGAGATTTCCTTGAGCGTTCATGGTTCTGTATAGAACCATTGTCTTTACTAAAGAACCCTTGAAGAACCATCGTTTTAAGAGTGTAGTTCCGGTGTGCACAAACAATCCCCTACTCAAACACACCCACTAAAGTTGGCAATGAACAGATGAGTTAAATCAGGTGTGTTTAAGCAGGTAAATCACTAAACTGTGCTGGATGCCGGCCCTCCATGCATTTATATATATATAAATGCATTTATCTAGTATTAGTCATTATCTGTGTTCAGTTGAGTGTAATGAAGGTTCCAGATGTACCTAAACGTTCTTCTGTGATCTGCACTGTACTTTACATTAACCATGTACGTCTGCAGTCAGACTCTCACACACAATGTATTTCACATAAACAAGATATCAGATCATAACCGCATTTTCACAGAGTATCAATTCCCACAACACTCGCTTCTGTCCTGTTAAAGGATCATTAGATCAGATTTAAAATGAAGATACTGGAACACAAATTCATTTCTAAAGGTATCAGACAGTGAAGAGCATCAGACAGGATTCTGGATATTTTCATACATTTTCAGATGGATTTGATAAAAACATTTACACACAGTTATTTCTGTATGGAACATTTCTGTGTGTAATATTTCCACATACATTTTAAAATAAATGCATTTTACAATATATTATTAATAAGGTAATATATTCTAAAGTACATTTTAGTGTTTGGAATGTGTTTCAGCATCGGCTGCAAGCCAGACTTGTCTGATAGTGGTCAGTATTTTTCTCAGTCCATTTCGAAACAGCATTTCTCACTTTGTTTCCTGCAGGTGTGTTTTTGTTGTAGCACTGATTGAAAGTTGTCTGGCGGAAATAACATGGAAAAACAGATTGTGGTCACATGGTGGTGCTTGGCTATGTTGAGCGACGAAACCTGCCAAACTCTCTGATAACAGTCAGAAGACTTCAGGCCCAGCAGCACGTGTCCCGCTCTCGCTTCACCTCCGATCAGCCCCAGCCGAGGAGCTAACAAAGCCTCTCGGCACGCCGGGACTCGCCTCGGAGAGAGACATGAGAAAGGAACTGTCTGCCTGCAAGACAGACACTTACAAACCTCCACCAAACTCTCTGATGTGGCTACGAGGAATGAAAGCTGTTAGGCTCTCATTGCCTGACGCTAGCTGACCCCTACGACCTTTCATTAAGCAACACTGCCACCTGGTGAGGTATTCCTTTAATCACGCCCCATTTTAACCTCGTAGGCCACACCAGTTTTGTGTGCTTCAGTTCTCACCCTGCCCCGAAGGCTTTCCTCACAATTCCAGTCGTTTTGCTCTGATGGAGACACATTTACGTCAATGTTCTCCGCAAATTTCATTTGCCTGGTTTCACACAATTTGCCCGCGCCAAGATTTGAGCTAATGTGCCATGAAAACTAACAACAGGTCAATTCACACATCATATGGCTGAATGGATCCTCTCTCTCTCCCACTCTCTCTCTCTCTCTCTCCCTTGTTTTTGCACAATAAGCTCTCTGCAGCTCGGTGGCTCTCGCTGGTTTCATTTCAGTTTTGCCATCTCATGCACCTAACAGTATAATTACAGAACTGCCTTCACGTCTCATTTAAAATGCCTCGTTAAAAACGTTCTTATTTTCAGCAGTGCTGCAGATCTCGGAGCGCCGGCTTATCGAAAGTGCTCGATGGCACCATGTAAAACCAGACGCCTCCAAAAACCGAGTGTTTTAGTAAACCTGACAACATAAACTGATGTTCGGCTGCATTAAAGCCTGTGTCGACTCTTCTTACAGCACTTCAGGCCTTCAGAACCGCCCCACACAGCCAGTTTCCTTCACCAGGCAGCACATTCGGTAGCAAATACTGCCATCTAGTGGCAGCCACATGAAGGTGCACCAAAGGGTTCTTTAAAGAGCCAGTGAGATCTGTGAGTGTGAAGAACCGTTTAAAGGTTTGAAGGACCTTCATTATCTTTATTATGGTCCTCTCACACGTCTCAGTTCTGGTTCTCTGAAGACCCATTCATTTAAAGGTTCTTCAGGGAACCCAAACATGGTTGTTTGCACAAAGATTGTAATGTACAACAGTAAATCTTATTGGGTCACTCTATCTGATCAAAACTTTGCTTCAGTTCATTGTTTAGTTATCAATTTTATTTTTTAGAAATTAATAACTTTACCTGATCAGGTTCTGAATTCCTTAAATATTAAATATTGAATTTTAACTGTTTTACTGAAATCAGTAAACAATTTAACTGTTTAGTGAAATATTAACTGAATATAAACACAACACTAATAATATCTGAATAATAAATTCACTGTATGTCAGTTGTGCACATTTTTACCTTTGTCAGTTTTGTAAAATGATTTTTGCAGAATTAAGGATTTAAGTATTCCTACATTTCTAGCAAATCTGTGAATTATTCATTTCTGCACAACATTTGTGCTCAAAATATTAAACTATGAAGGAGCCAGAAAACATCTGTTATTGGAACATAACTGTTATTAATCAATGTTAAATAAAAATAACATACATCAATTTTGAGAAAATATAGGATTGAAAAGGCCTTTCGAATAGATTTGCTAGAAATCCAGTGAAACTGCATAAAAGGTGGAATAATACAATTTATTTTTGCTAAATCATTTTGAAAACTGATTTCAAAGAGGAAATATTAAATATATATCTGTCATAAGCAAATTAACCTGTCTTGCTTTATCAGCATGAAAATAGTAAAATATTATTCAGCTCTAGAGTGTTGAGACAGTTCCAAATGACTTCTCGATTAATTATCAATCGCATTCTTATATTGAATAAGACAGATTTGGGGAAACAGTACAAACACAAATACATTCTAGTTCCATAAAAAGGGGACATGAATGAAACTGACAATTAATTATGACTTCTAACCAATCTAAATAGATATTCTGACAACCTTTTCAAAATTCTCTGCATAATTAAACAGTTAAGATGTAATCAGAGTCATTCAGAGTGGTTTGGTGTGAAACTCTCTGTTCTACAGTCAGAACTGTCCACAGTGGTGGTGATAGGAACCAGACGTCCACCTCTAAAAGCTCCCTCACAGAAAGTTCCTACAGTAAATGGTTATGAATTCACTGCCTGATGACTGAGACACTGTTTTATGATAGTTTAGAGAACTTAAACTCCATTCATGGTGGAGGGATACATGCAGGGCGCTGTGAGGCAAAATAGTCCCCAAAGAAAACTGATTATTTCAGATTTTCCACTATTTTCCATCATCAACATTCCATATAAACTCAGAAGACTCGTGTAGGTTCACTGGTGGTTCTGGATAGTAAATAAAATGTCTATATCTGTGTTGTAGTCATGGCGACCCCTGGTTCCTACCACCACCACTGTAAAGACATCTGAACCATTTCACACTAAACCACTCTGAATCTCTCTGTTTACACCTCACACACTATTATTTTGAAATACTTTAGAAGAGGTAAGGTCAGCTTTGCTTAATTCACATAGAACCTCTGACAATATGCCACCTTAAAACATTTTACATCTGCTTTTATTTGTTTATTTTTTGTCTTAAAGTCATGATCAGTTGACTTTGCAAGCCCTTGTGGAACTTCATTCACAGGACAGAACATTCCATAAACGTACACATCAACCCATTCAACCTTAAAGCCGCAGTCAGCAAAATGTACAGTTGATTTTTTCGATGTTTTGCTGATCTGAATGCCTTATTGGCTGAATACAACAACAGTAAAGCAAAACTCACCATTAAAAAATAACAAAGACATGACTATCATGCCACATGCTCCCAACTTTTTTTTTCTTTTTTCTTCTTCTTTTTTTTAACAAAATTAATCAGAGATTGCCAGCGCTTGAGGAAACATGTACGGAACAGCTTCACGACTCTAGTACTCTAGTGAAAACCACGTTAGTGAGCTCTGTGCGAATATACACATCCCATGTATACCAAGTCAAGTTGTCCAGTTAGCCTCTTGAATTTATTTGTGCAAATACTGCAAAAGTTTTGAATAGCGGGTAAACGTGAACGTTCAGCATCCATATTTCAACTCACATTTAGTTTGCATATTAAAACACCTGGATAACGACACTCCATCCACACCTTATTCTCCTAAACCTATAGTTAACGTGTGTTGGTGTGGTCAGAGATACGATTTTGTCCATTTGGCCAAACACAAGGGTCACAAATGAGTAAAATATTGCTACATACAGTTCTTAATCATCCAATTACAGAACGACAGCAGAAATCAAGGTTTATGCTCCACTGCTTTGGAGTTTATCAACACACCAATTACGATGATGCTGATAAAGATCAAATGTGACCACATATTGTGAAATATGATGGTAAAACGCTGAATATTATCCAGGGCTCTGTCTCACGAAGCAGGATCTGTTGCTTATCCAGTTAACTAAAGTTTAGTTCAATCTAACCCTGGACTAACTCAGGATGGTGGATCACTTTTACTGGGACACGTCACCATGGCAACTTGCGTTGCACGTCTAACCTGCTCCAGGGCCAGATAAGTTTAGGATTACAGATCACAAACAGCTTACTGACCAATCAGAACTGAGCCTCTGACCAATCAGAAATGAGCTTCAGACCATCAGGCACAGCCTTCTGACCAGTCAAAGTTGAGCTTCAGACCAATCATAGCTGAGCTTCAGACCAATAAGGGTTGAGATTCTGACCAACCAGGAACAGCCTTCTGACCAATCAAGGCCAAGCTTCTGACCAATCAGAGCTGGGCACGAAGCAATCAGAGCTGTGCTTCTGATCCACTCAGAGCCGTAAGCTGTTTGACCAATCAGATTTGAGCCTCTGACCAATCAGATTTAAGCTTCTGACCAATCAGAGCCAAGCATCTGACCAATCAGAGCTGTGCTTCTAACCAGTTAGGGACAGCCTTCTGGCCAATCAAAGCTAGGCTTCTGAATAAACATGGACAGCTTCTTGACCAATCAGAGCTGTGCTTCTGACCAATAAGAGCTGAGCTTCTGACCAATCAGTGACTGCCTTCTAACCAATTAGGGACAGGCTTCTAACCAATCAGGGACAGCCTTCAGACCCATTCAGGGACTGCCTTCTGACCAATCAGGAACAGCCTTCTGACCAATCAGGGACTGCCTTCTAACCAATCAGGGACAGCCTTCTGACCAATCAGGGACAGCCTTCTGACCAATCAGGGACAGCCTTCTGACAATCAGGACAGCCTTCTGACCAATCAGGGACAGCCTTCTGACCAATCAGGGACTGCCTTCTGACCAATCAGGGACAACCTTCTGACCAATTAGGGACTGCTTTCTGACTGATCAGGAACAGCCTTCTGACCAATTAGGGACAGCCTTCTAACCAATTAGGGACAGCCTTCTGACCAATCAGGGACTGCCTTCTGACCAATCAGGGACAGCCTTCTGACCAATCAGGGACAGCCTTCTGACCAATCAGAGACTGCTTTCTGACCAATTAGAGATAGCCTTCTGACTGACTTAGCTGACCATGCGTTGTGTAACAGATCCCTGGACGCTCCAGTGTGTTTAACTCATTATGTCCTGAATGATGGTCACCCTTTTATCCCTAAACGCTTATAATCCATGGACAAATCACAAACACAAGCCCTGAAGGTGAGGTCTGTACGGAGAACAGGGGAACCTTTACTCTGAAATACTTTTTCCCCGTCATGAACTGTGAGGGATGAATCATCAGGTGTGAGCTACATTTTCCAGGCATGCACTGTTATTTGCATAAAGGAGGCCGGCCTTGGCTCAGTCAGGCCTGACCAATGTATCCCAGATGTGGCCTCAAAGGCCTGATTAGTGGATCCCAGAGCTCATTCCATGTACAGGACATTGTAAAATTATTGCTGTTCAAATAAAGCATGTTGATCCCCAGCCGGTTTGGCACATGCTGATTGGCGCTGACAGTGGACGTGATGGCTGTGGTCCATTTAACGTCCAGAACATCCACTGCTTCTGTCCTGCTGAGAAGCAGATCAGTCAAATCTGTGAATAACTCGAGTTGAACCCGTGTCTTCATTAGACGTGCCTCCTGAGGAGGGTTTTTTTGGAGCATTGTAAATCACTGGCACAACTGAAGCTCTACGTGAAAACATCTGACCTGCAGCATCTTTTTCTAAAAGTCGCTGTGACAGAGAGAGTTTTGTTCCCTATTCACAGGAGCTCTGAGACGAATACTGTTGTGGTGATCAGTGCAGAGGTGTGAACTTTGGGTCTCGAGTTTTGGAGTCTTTCCGGCTCCTCGAGCTGTGGCTGCGCCTCGGCCCTGGCGAGGCGGGAGGATTTGAGTCATGGGCCGGGTTATGGGCTTGCGGTGCGGTTCGTTTGCTCCTGCTTCTGTGATGAGAGTGGTGCCTGTGGGGTGTGGTGGCTGCTGGACGCTCCCTGGACACCTTAGGCTGTTCCGGAGCAGGACCTGGACCAGAAGAGGGAGAGGGAGTGATGCTTGGCAGAGCGTCCAGTGCTGGCGGGGGTATGGCCTGGGCCTTGGCTTGAGGACAGGGGCTGGAGAGGAAAGGAGAGCGAGTGGCCGTCTCCAGCAGGCCTTTGGTCCCCTGGGTGCACTAAAAGAGGAGGAATAAAGAGTAGAGAGGAAGAAAATGGGAAATAAAAGAAGAAACCAAAAGAAGGGAAAGCAAGATAGATTGGAAGGGAAAGAAGAACAGACAGAAAGAGAAAAGGAAGATGTTTAAGAACAGTTATGGAAATTCTAGAGTCGACCGATTCTGATTCCAAGAGTCGATTCCACACGATAACTCTCTCGATTCCGAAAATCAACACAGGCCTCCTTTTTTACACACGCACTTTTCCGCTGGGATTTAACAGTAGGTAAACGGGAAGGAATGTGAACATAAGCGGGAGCTGAAATCTTGGTAAGACTGACACAGCAGCACAATTCCCTGGAAATTCCCAAGAGGGCTTACATATGAATAGAGACCGATATTTTAACAGAAATGACAATGATGTCTTGTTTACAGCGGCAAAGCTGAGTGCTTCCATGACTCTTAATACAGTGTTGAGTTTTCAGGTTTTGCAAGTAATATTAGCCATGGGAGAGTACAAACCTGTTTCCCAAAATTTGGGACGCTGTGCAAAATGTAAATAAAAACAGAATACAAAGATGTGCAAATCATGCAAATCTTATATTTAATTGAAAATATTTAAATGCAAAAAAACATTAAATGTTGAAACTGAGAAATTTTATTCTTTTTTGAAAAATATTTGCCCATTTTGAATCTGTTGCTGGCAACACGTTCCAAAAAAGTTGGGACGGGGGCCTGTTTACCACTGTGTTTCATCACCTCTTCTTTTAACAACACTCTGTAAGCGTTTGTGAACTGAGGAGACTCTGCTGTAGTTTAGAAAGTGAAATGTTTTCCTGTTCTTCCTGTTCGTCGTCTGAATGACAGCATAAACGTGCCAAAACATGCATATATCGTTCCGCATCAATGGTGCCTTCCCATCACAAATGCTGGCTTTTGAACTGTGCGCTGTTAACAAGCTGGATTGTCCTTTTCCTCTTTAGCCTGGAGGACATGGCGTCCATGATTTCCAAAAAGAATTTCAAATGTTGATTCGTTGATTCGTCGGTCCACAGGACACTTTTCCACTTCGCCTCAGTCCATCTTAACTGAGCTCAGGCCCAGAGAAGGCGGCAGTGTTTCTGGATCCTGTTTATATTTGGTTTCTTCTTTGCATGGTAGAATTTTAACTCACATTTGTGGATGCAGTGATGAACTGTTTTCACAGACAGTGGTTTTCAGAAGTGTTTCTGAGCTCATGCAGTGATTTCCACTACAGAATCATGTCTGTTTTTAATGCAGTGCTGCCTGAGGGCCCAAAGATCACAGCCAGCAAATACTGGTTTTTGGCCTTGTCCCTTACATACAGAGATTTCTCCAGATTCTCTGAATCTTTTAAAGATAATATGTACCATAGATGATCAAATCCCCAAGTTCTTTACTATTTTATGCTAAGAAAGGTTATTCTTGAATTGTTGCACTATTTGCCCGTGCAGTTTCAACATTTTATATGTTGTCTTTGTAATATTTTTAATATACGGTTTAAATGATTTGCACATCACTGCTTTCTGTTTTTATTTACATTTTGCACAGCGTCCCAACTTTTCTGGAAATGAGTGTGTATTTTATACAGAATTTTAGTTTTAAATTTTATCATTTGCTTATTGAGTGAGCATGGCTGCCACTGAGTAACAGTGACGCAGCATGGCCAGCAAAGCAGATCGTATCTGTGAATCTTTGGTTTTTACCGTAGATATCAAGTCTATGTCTAGTGAAAGTTAACCAGTAACAGACGACAGGGATGGCAAAAACTCAGGTACCACAGGTTTAAAAACTCATTGTTCATTTACTGATTTAATTAAAGCAAATCACAGCAAGACACTAGTATTCCCATGACTTTTAAATCCTACATTAGCACCACATTTATTGTACCTATCATGGATGAGTGTTCTGTGAACACGGCTGTTGAGCTGAGCTAGTTGAACAAGCTCAGAGCTGCAGGCAGATATCATAATTATAAAAACGTGCCTGCATGATACGATGTATATTTTAGAACAACTTGAGACCCAGAATCAGACTAAACAGATTCAGGTCTCAGAAAAGCACCATCACTCAGATCCTGTACATTCAGGCTAGTTAGGCGGCTACAGAAAGCATGGCATTGGACTTCATATTAGTAGATTAATTACATTTTCATGGCCAAAATAAATATCAATATATTACAATTTTTACTGAACTGCGTCTTAATTATACTGTTTTATGTGACAAATACTGAGCTTCACCTCTGGCACTATTACTGTCTTTGCTCCAGTGTCTTCTTCATAGTTAGGAACTGTCTCAAAATTACCATAATAGAAAATGTTGTCATCATTAATCACTATTATTTGTTGTAGTATTAGCAGTATAATCATCTGCTAAGACGTCAGTCACGTCAACAGTGATGCTCCAGGAAGCAACAGCAGACATAGTTAAATAGACTCCCTCAGCTTCGTTTAAGCGCTTACTGTGGTTATTTTCCTCATAATTGTCCGAATAAGAGGAATCTGTCACCGGTCATTTTAAGTCATTTTCTGTTTTAAAATTCTACTTTTAAATAGTCATTGATGTTCATGTTGTGGAAAAGAGACGGCTCTCGATTCACAAAACGACCTGGAATCAGAGAATCGGCTCTTTTTTGGGATCAGCTCCCAGACCTAAGAAAGAACAGGTGTCCAATATGGACACAAAGGTGAAAACAAAAGCAACAGAGATAACCAGAAACAGGAAGCAGTAAAAGCTGCAAGCATTTAAAATAAGCAGGCATGCAGAGGAAGAGACACCATGCAGGAAATGAGCTCACACTGTGGAGGAAAAAGAGCAGGTTCATCTCTCTGAGACACACACACACACACACACGCACACGCACACACACACACACACACACACACACACGCACACACACACACACTACCTACCTATGTGGGCCATTCCATTCTAATGAACTGGTTCAAAATCAGAGCTAAATTTCAGTCATTTAACTGATCTTGGACTTAAGACTAAACTCCTTTTGCTCTGAGTGACTCTAAATCTTAATTATGACTATTTTTTAAAAATTAATGATTGATCATTCCATTTAGTCTCTACCAAAACAATCATAACTCTACCCAAACTGTACCAAATGTTTCAGTGACAGTTTTAGCTCATTCTGAGCTCAGAATCTCAGCCAGTACAGAAGAGCAAACACAGCTTTGAACAGCTGTTCACACAGAAAATCATCATATTTTACATTAAAACACTAAAAAGTGCTGAACTGCAGAAAATATGACGATTCTTAATGTTCCACACTGATTTTCAGACTTTGGGACTCATTTACTTCAAAACAATGGGATCTAACTGTTCACCATGTGGCCATGAGGGACAGGGATGCAGCCTCACTTCCTGCTCTAAAATGCAGGGGCGTGGCTACAATAAGACTCCGCCCACATACTGAAGCTCTAAGCTTCAGCAGGGACATTAAAAAGAAGGACATTAAAAAACATTAAAAGTAATATTTTCAGAAGTGTAAATTTAGGGGTTGGGGTTTGGGACAGACTCGCCTCAATAGAAAGTACCTTATAAATAATGATTGTATATACATTTAGCTTATTACTGTCTCTATTAATGCTTTGGGTTTAAACAGATCAGAACTGGGTTTAAATAGGTCACTGTAAATATCTAAGAGCGCAGAATGAACTAATTTGGTTGAATGGTACGTCTTCATTGCTATATATAACAATTTTATTTAGCAGTTTTCACTTTAGTTACAAATCCCAAAGTGCTTTACACAGAAATATCAGTAAAACACAGATAAAGATGTAAATGAAAATAAAAGCATACTTAAAAACAGGAGAAAATGAGCTACAATACTTTTAGGCCTATTTTAGCCTAAACAAATGTTTTTAACCTGGATTTAAAACACCTGCCGAGCTACATCAGATTGTGCATAAATAAAAAATATAAATCCACTTTTATTAAAAAGAAACAATCCTAGCCATCATGACGATTTGTAAAACAGTCAAATAAACACTTTATTTATACAGTAAATCTATACAGAAAAACCAAAAACCTAAAATAAAGCATTAAGCCACAAGCGTCAGTGCGCTAAATGACAGTAATGCAGTGGTCACCAGCCTCCTCCTCCAAATCTACCTTCCTGCTGAGTTTACTTCCAACCTCGTCTAATTAACCTCCAATTACCAACACTAACGCATCCGATCCAGCCAATCAGGGACGTCTGAGGGAGATAATTATCTGGAGCAGACTCCAGAGGAAGGCAGATCTCCTGCTTTAAACAAGGCAACAAAACAATACAATAAAACACACCAATGTTCAATAAATAAGGTATTAATAATAATACTTTTAAAAAACACTAAACAATTATTTCGCTGAGCAATGTGGCTTCTGGTGGGCTGTGTGTGCCAAGCAACATAAAATACACTGGCAGATCAATGGCATATTTTCAAAATTTCAGCAGAAATAACTGGTTAAGATGTAAACAGACTCATTCAGAGTGGTTTGGTGTGAAACGCTCTGTTCTAGAGAAACTTACCGAGTCAGTACTGTTCACAGTGGTGGTGATAGGAACCAGACGTCCACCTCTAAAAGCTCCCTCACAGAAAGTTCCTACAGTAAATGGTTATGAATTCACTGCCTGATGGCTGAGACACTGTTTTATGATAGTTTAGAGAACTTAAACTCCATTCATGGTGGAGGGATACATGCAGGGCGCTGTGAGGCAAAATAGTCCCCAAAGAAAACTGATTATTTCAGATTTTCCACTATTTTCCATCATCAACATTCCATATAAACTCAGAAGACTCGTGTAGGTTCACTGGTGGTTCTGGATAGTAAATAAAATGTCTATATTTGTGTTGTAGTCATGGCGACCCCTGGTTCCTATCACCACCACTGTAAAGACATCTGAACCATTTCACACCAAACCACTCTGAATCAGTCTACATCTCACACACTCAGTTATGGAGAAATTTTGAAAAATGGGTGGAATTTCCATTTGAGACAGCTGAATTCAATTAATTCAACTATTTTCTAAGAATGAAAACAGAACATAACCAGAGAAATGTGTATTAATATGTGGACTGTGTTTTCATACAGGCACCGAACAGCAGGAATATCAGAGTAAAGTGAAGATGTTCAGGTCTGTATGACCAGCGGGGGCAGCGCTGAGGGAGCTCTGATGGCGTGATGTGATAAGGCCGGTCAGTGTGAGGATCAGCTGGTGGCCCCGAGCAGCCCGGCAGCATGCAGGCCTGAACCAGACCAACGCCAGAGTCATACCAACCTGCCCGTCCTGCACCGCTGATACCCACTGACTCATCAACCGGCACAGGACAGTGCAAATTCCAGGCAATCATCCTCCTACATACACATACATACACAGCCGTTACTGCGGGAACACTGACACCTTCACCGTGAGCAGGGCTGCGCGATACCGCAGAGCATCGTGATACTTAAAGACATTTTCATGATACACTGTAAAAAATAATATCTTGGGAAGTGAAATCATCTTAAATTTAGTTAATATTTTTAAAATTTCTCATTTTTATTTGGTGGATGGACTAATGCTGCGTTCAGATATCCTCGCTGCCCAAGGCAAAATATGTATCTGGGTCATTCTACAGAAACGTCCATTTTTGTGTCCCTAGTGTTTACAGATATATTACACTTCAAAACATGTTTGGGTCACAATTTATTTTGTAAAATAAAACGAAGTTATTTTAACAATTACACCTTCTTGAGCCTCAATTTAGCAATATTGGTTTTTAAATCAATCATCTAGAATTCCAAACAACACAGAAGAGCTCGTCCCCACAGTCGGGTGTGAAGGCTGAGGCCATATTTTGAAGAAAAAAAAATGTTTTTCTGCAATTTTAACTGCAATAATCTATACATGACTATGGAATATATTATTTAAATGACAAAGAAAACAAATGACAAATAAATATTATAAAACATATAATGAAAGTTGTTGTCCCCAGGAGTCGTGTCACTGGTGTTACTGTGTAACAAAAAATTATTTTTCTTATTTTGAAATAAAAGTCACACTGATGACATCACTCGACTTCCTTTTACCTGTTTTCTGTAAAGAGATTTTATTCTAAGCGGTTTCGGAGCATTTCTATTGGTCCATTCATCATGAAATTTTCACACAACATAAAGAAGAGCTGCAGTGATTAGACGTACAGTCTGGAACACAGCAATGCGCCACACTAGCTTCACCCACTCAACTCGCTCTTCTGCTGCTCTGCACTGTTTTTACAGCACTTCCCAAACTCCTCCCACCACAGCCTCGTTTTCACACAGGACATTTTCAAAATGGTAACCCGCCTGATTTAGAGCTGTGTGGACACAAATCTGATCTTTTCAAATCCGACCTGAGCCACTTTCATATGTGGTCCTAGATTGTTTACGTATCCGATTCGTGGTCATGTGACCTTAATGTGACGTTCAGATCGGAATTCATGTGCTTTTTCTCCACTGCACCATCATTCAGCGTTACCATGGCAGCAGCACCGAACAGAAGTTAAAGCCTGTAAACGGTGGAAAAGCAGCTCATCTCACCTTTTTCTCCTTCATCTCGCTCTAATAATGAAGCTGAGAGCTGATCAGAGTTAATGATCTTCTCAGCGAAGCTCGTTCTGCTCGTTAGTTTGTGCTGATGATGAACGTGATTCGTTCATGTGACGTTACTGAGTAGGATGAGCTCATGAGGGTCATTTCAGGACGCCGGTTCGTCACATTAATGACAGATTTGAGTCACTGACCTAAACGAGTGTGAACCATCGAGTCAGAGAGATCAGATTTGAGCAAAAAATCAGATTTGAGAAACGAGGCTTGTAATTTGAACGTAGCCTATGTTTTTTAACTTCATTTCAATGCTTGTGAATGTGGTTCCACCAAATAGGTAATAATAATAATAATAATAATAATAATAATAATAATAATAAATAGAAAGTTAGTAGACAGATCTACATGCACAGATACAGTAGTGTAATTCAGATGAGTTTATTTAACATTAAAAATATATATTTATGTATAGCATGATCCAACAGACAAACATCCAAAAAACGTTAAAAAGTACAAACAGGTTTTTTTAAAATATGTACCTGAAATAGGCCTGTAATAAACACCAACACTGACTCTTTCTCTCTCGGCTCATAAACGTAAGGCACCTGCGTCACTGAGACGCCACTCAGAGCTCTGGGTCAAACGGAGCTCAGCAGACAGACATGTATCATCAATCTGATCGATCAAGGACAGACAGACTCACATCTGACAGACAGACGAGGCTCTAACTTCTGAACTCAAACATGGAAAACATTCAGAGCATTTATACACCGCCAGTCAACAGTCTGGACACGCCAACCTCATCTGTTTACTTTCATTAATTATTTTTCATATTTTCACTTAAAAAAGTCGTCAATACGTCTTAAATAGCGTGAGTGATCTGAAGGTCAGTGAAAAGTGCCGTGTTCGTAGGTGCTGGGCGGCGGATGCTGTGGTTTGAGCTGTGATGTTGCCTGCAGAGGAGTTTTTGTTGTGTTTGCGGTTGCTAGGGTGTTGCTAGGCAGTTGTTTTGCTATGGTTGCTAGGTGGTTGGTATGGTATCTCAGGTGGTGGCTAGGTAATTACTATAGTATCCCAAATGGTTGATATACACTCAAAAAAGATGGTTCTTCAGGGGTTCTTTAGTAAAGAAAATGGATCTATATAACACAACCATGAACACTCAAAGAACCCTTTACATGATTAACGGGTTCTTTGCATCATGAAAGCGCTCTTTAGATTGTTGCAGAGCATGCTGTAGATGGTTCTATATAGAACCTTGTATATAGCACCAAAAAGGTTCTACTATTGTTACGTCAAGCTTGTGACAGTAGAAAAAATTTTGGTGCTACACAGAACCCTTTTCAAAAAACTATCTACAGAACATTCTCCATCAATCTAAAGAACGCTTTCATGATGCAAGAGAGTGTATATCAACCATTTGGGATACTATAGCAAATACCTAGCCACCACCTGAGATACCATATCAACCACCTTGCAACCACCTGGGATACCATAGCAACCACCTTGCAACCTCCAAATAACCTCTTATATATATATATATATATATAAATTCAGCCGTCAGCTTCACTACTTACATTTGTCATTTAAAGGGGAATTCCACTGCATTTTCAAAATTCTCTGCTTTATTAAACGGTTAAAATGTAATCAGAGTCGTTCAGAGTAGTTTGGTGTGAAATGCTCTGTTCTAGAGTCAGAACTGTTCACAGTGGTGGTGATAGGAACCAGACGTCCACCTCTAAAAGCTCCCTCACAGAAAGTTCCTACATGAAATGGTTATGAATTCACTGTTAAATCCACTCATGGTGGATTTAACAGTGAATTGATAAATGAGGCAAAATGAAATCGGAGTCTCTACAATTAACCATTTCATCAACTCTGGCTTTGTTTATGTCTCAACCACAGAATTATGCAGGAATTCTGAAAAATCGGTGGAGCTCCACTCTGAGCAGACGCCTTTGGAAAAGGTCTTGGGTTATGAGAAGTGCTGTTAAGTGTGTCCAGACTTTTGACTGGCAGTATAAGCGCACCAGTTTAAAGGGCTCAGCGCAGATAGGCTGGCTTGTCAGCCAGCATTTCAATAGTGCACTAGAGTGGAGGTCAGTTCATCAGTTTGAAAAGTGTCACTTGGTCTGAACTGTAAACAAAGTTAACAGAAACTCTGTTCTGCCTTTTATTACGGACTGGAAAGCAGCGCCTTGTAAAAAACACTACAGTTTCCTTGGAATGCAAGAGAAATAAACCCTGAGCTGGCATGTAAACAAATATTATTAATAAAAATCTACTGGTTAAACTCTGTGTGAGCACATCAAGTCATTTTATAGGCTGACGAACAACCAAATACCCGACAAAAAGCCAGCGGCAGCTCTTTCAGCGCCGCCTTTTACAGTAATCAGCATCGTACAGCATTAGTGATAAAACTATCATTAACAGACAGATCACCGATTCAGTGCACACTGTTCCTGCCTGACACCACAGGTTTCGATTCCCCTTTTCGTGTGTTCACAGTACTGATGTGTCACCTGATTTCGGGTCAAACCAGTTCCACAATAGAACTCAGCCCCTCCTGGTAGTTCCTGTAGATAAAAGGGAAGCGTGCAGGAGCCACCCGACTCAAAATATCCACTATTACAGCAAATCTGTCGTCACAGCAGCGAGAGACAGACCAGCCGTTTTACCGTCAAGGCAGCTCTCATTCAAACACATGATCCACTCGTGCACACTTAGAAAGACGGATCTTCAAGGGTTCTTCAGTAAAGGCAGTGGTTCTATATTGAACCTGACAAAGTTAGATTTTATGTGGCCAGTAAGTTCATTTACTTAGAAAAACAATACTATTACAATAAACACAAGTAAGATTAATACAGCACTCGTAAAAAAGGTGGTTCTTCAAGTGTTCTTTAGTAAAGACAGTGGTTCTGTGTAGAACCAATGACACTCAAAGAACTATCTTAATGCTTAAATGGTCTTTGCATGGTGAAACTGTTCTTCAGATTGATGGAGAATGTTATTCTATTGTTAAGAAACTTGACACAGAACCCTTTTTGGTGCTACCATTTCCAAAAAGCCCCTATATAGAACCCACATTCTCCATCAACCTGAAGAACCACTTTAAGCATGCAAATAGTCTCTTGATTCTAAACAGAACCACTGCCTGTATTAAAGAACGTTTGAAGAACCCTGTTTTTTTTAGTGTGTACTGATATGAACGTTTCGGGAGCTGCTCATGCCAAACAGGCTCTGGTGGCTCATCCAGGGCAGGAGGAGATGCTCGGTCTGGAGCAGGCGCGCTATCGGTCAGGCAGTAGAGTGGTTCTGAATGGTAAGGGTGGGCGGATGAAGGGTTAGGGTGGGAGGTGGGGGGGGTGGGGCACGGCCCGGTTCGGGGACCCGTCCTACCATGTTGATGTCGTTTTTAGCAGCAGGAAGCTCGTTCTCCGCCGGGCCGATCTCAGCGCCGTCCTCCGAGGGAACAAAGCCTCTTCTGTCGATCAAACTGCAGCGTGGAAAAAGGAAAGAGGGGCTTATTACACAATTAAACATACAGGGCAAGTCCACCTACTTTTTAACCACACTGTTATGCTCTGGGTCAAACTGATCCGCTTCAAAGTTTAAAAATGGAGGAAAAATATTTTTCATCTTTTTTGGAGCATGAAACCCTTTCTGCTGGACTTACAGCTCATTTAGTGTGATTTGAACTGAAAGGGTCAGTTTGACCCAGAACAGAAGAGAGGTTTTGTTTGTATTAATCAAAATAATGACAGAAAATGTCAAAAAATGTTGAAAAAGACTAAATAAGAATAAATAAAACAAATATGATGAATATCTAGTTTATGCCAATGTACAGAAAAAAAGTTCGAAAATAGTTTTTAATGAAAACCGTGTGAATTATTGCAAATAAGCCATGATCTGTAATGGGTGAAAAGCACTAAACATTGATTAAATTAATATTAATTGAATAATAAAGACAATGTTTATGGAGAAAAATATATTTTTAACTACTTTAAGATGGTAAAACATGCAACAGGTCAATTTGACCTGGAACATTACTGCTGTTTCTTACAGCTGAACACAACAGGAGGGTTAAATTACCAACAGCTCATTGGCTATTTTACCCAGAAACACCTGGCAAACAGGTGCACAATGTAGGTCTACAGTTACAGACTGTCAGGGATGCTGGACGTAGAACTGACTTCTACTGCTAAAAACACCCCCATAATAATAATAATAATAATAATAATAATAAACAACAACAACAACAATAACAACAAACAACAACAACAACAACAACAACAGGAAAGTTTGTAAACGAACTTTAAGTTGGCCTGAAAAAGCCAGCTAATTACATTAAAATGATAAAAATGGCAAAAGACTATAGATGGTTGCTAAAGTGTTGCTTAGACTGTTGCTAGACAGTTGCTATGGCATCCCATGTTGTTGCTAAGGTGTTGCTAGGTGGTTGCTATGCTATTAAATACACTGGTACCCTGAATCCATGGCTTCCTTAAATGCACTGCTACCTTAAATCTATTACTACCTTACATTCAGTGCCACCTTTAATAACCACTGACACGGCCAAATCAAACTCGAAGTTTATTTATAGCACTTTTTACAACAGCCATCGTCTGAGCAGCTTTACAGAAAAATCCGGGTCTGAGCCCCCATGAGCGTCGCCAATTGCGACAGTGGCAGGAAAAACTCCCTAAGAGCAAGAGGAAGAAACACTGAGGAACCAGGACTCAAAAGGGGAACCCATCCTCCTCTGGACCACACCGGATAGCAAACAGTACATAAGCCCTATATAAATATTTCTAAAAGCTTATTTTAATTAGGTATGTAACCTTTATGTAGCCTTTATAGTGAATGATGCCTATTGGAATAAGCATTTACAAACTTTTATTCTCCTTTTATTTTATTTTGATTTGTTTTTATTAACTTTTTCATTTTAGCTACTTTTTAATTATTGTTCTATATTTTTAATTGTATTTTTATTACTAATGTTTCTTTTTTATACTTATCTAATTTAAGTCTTTTTTTAATTATTAAAATTACTTTTATTATTTGATATATTCTCACACATTATCAATCCCTTGTTCTGTATCAACTCGGCAACACTGTAAATGAGGTTGACTGAAACATTTTTGTAGGATTATGTAATTTGTCAGCTGTTATGTAGGAGTCATATGAACAGTGCCCTACAGTAAAGTGTTACCAAAATAAGATCTGCACTGTAAAACCATTTGAACATGGTTCACTCACCTCGGAGGAATCGGCCCACAGAGAACCGAACAGCAGTTTTTAAATATGCTGTTATAACTGTAAGGGTTCCCCGTCTCCTCGTTCCCACTCTTCCCCGACCAAGAACCTTTAATCTGAGACACACAAAGAGAAATCACAGCTGGTTACATAACGCACAAGAACCGAGTCTCATTATAACAGTACAGTACAGTTACTGTAATGAATGGTATGAATAAAATAGCACAATATATAATTTAGCATGTATCACAGTAGAGCTGGGCGATATGGCAAAATTATTATATTGCGATACATCAAGAAATTTTTCACAATACATTGTATGTCCTAATATTTAAGACAACTGATTAGAGAAAAAAGAGCCAGTAGAGCTACATTTAAAAAAAATACTATCAAAAACTTTGAACACAGTGATTTTTATTTAATATTTGGCACTAAATCCAGTTAAACAGCACTCATTTTACTCTTTATAATGAAATGCGGTTAGTCAAGTGTCTACAAGCACTGACGATACACACAATATGTAGCATATCATACTGTACTGTAATTTATCATGACAGTGATAGTCATATTTCCCAGCCCTAGAACACATTATCAGATGATATTCAGGTTATCAAGTAGTATATAGAATACATATGTATTAATGCAGCTAATAAGCTAATATTAATCAAGTTAAAGATCCAGCATTAATAAAGTTAATAAGTTAGTATTAATTTAATAAGCTTACATTAATAGCTTTAATAAGTTACCATTACTAACATTTATAAACCTTTATTTTACAGTTATCGATAATTATACTCATCATTATCAATTCCACTAATCAATATCACAGTATGTATAGATGATATATCGCCCAGCTCTAGATGACTGTTTATCAGATATTAATGAATAAAACTCACGTCTTCGTTTGTAGTGAGATTAGCAGCGAGTAGGTATGTGTGGAAACCTGAGAGGCCCAAAATAGACCACACTGAAAAGAAGCAGACCACCAGCTCCAAAGCAGTGGGCAGGAGTGAAGGACGATGACAGACTAACAGCACTTATTGATTATATAGGTGATCAATTACATCACTCTGAAAACCTACAGAGTTAACCAAACAGAGTTAAAGCCAAAAGGATATCTGGCAGGACTTTCCTGGAGCGCAAACACCAGCCCGTTTCCTCCCTGTGATCCTGATTAAAAAAACAAATAAAAAACATCATAAAATTAGTAAAGAATATTAATTGCTTTAATTACAAAGTAAATAAAAAGTTTACAGAAATAGAATGCAAAAAAAAAAGATCACCACATTTCACATTACATTAATTTTAATGGTTGTTACTGTTTTTACGGTAAAATGCTGTAGAATTTACAGTGAAGTGATTTTACAGATCTTTACCATCATTGAGAAAAGCGAACCTTTACTGATAATTAACACTTTTTAACCTTGTGTAGATCAGAGGCCCAGTCCTGGAAATCTACCACCCTGCAGAGTTTAGACCCACCCCTGATCTGACACACCTGATCCAGGTAATGAAGGCCTTCAGGGGCGTCTGAATATTAGAGGTGTGTTTAATCTGAGCTCTTCAGGGTGGTGGATCTCCAGGAGAAGGACTGAGCGCCGCTGAAGATCTCTGGCTCTGTGTGAGAATTCCTTACAGATATCAATAAGACTTTATCCAAAGCATGTTTGGAACAGCAGTCTAGTGTTACAGTTACAGCTGAAAATGACAAATAAACAAAACATCTTTTAGTCAGTATAATAAAACTTAAAAAGAACATGGAATAACTGCAGCATTTGTTTATACAAATGTGCATGTAAAATAAATAATAAAATAATAATAATAATAAATAATAATAATAATAAATATCATTATTATTAAGTACATTCACTTTTGTACTGATTTATACTGCAGCTGTTCAGCCCACAGCGGTTTGGCCCCACCCTTTCCGCCTATAGCAGTTTAGCCCCACTATTCAGCTACAGCAGTTTAGCTCCACCCATTCAGCTACAGCAGTTTAGCCCCACCCACTCAGCTACAGCGGTTTAGCCCCACCCACTCAGCTACAGCAGTTTAGCCCCACCATTCAGCTACAGCAGTTTAGCCCCACCATTCACAATGAAGTTATAAGGAGTGTTTCAGCTCTAAGTGCTTTTTGAATGAGCCAGTGCACTGATACGCTGCAGGAAGTGGACTGTTTTTACGACATACAGCATAGAGAAGCGTACGTACTCAGAGCGAGGTGTGTGGTCACACAGCCGAAGATGAAGGCGGTGAGGAAGGACAGTGAGACGATGAACGTGTAGAAGAAGCGATAGTTGCGCTTTCCCACGCAGTTCCCCACCCAGGGGCAGTGGTGGTCAAACCGCTCTGAAGAAAAAGGGAAACACAGAGAGTCGACTCAGCTGCTGAGCTCAGATTACAGATCACTACAGCGAGAAAACTCCAGTGACCCGAGAACAAACACGGGCTGAACAGCGACGGCGGTGGAGCGTAAACAAGTAGTTCACCTTCAAAACGTTCAGCAAACATCACTGACAACGACAACACAACAACAACAACAACAATCAAAACACACAAACATAATAAATGATGTATACTTCAGGAGCTGTAGAACATAAAACACATGCAATTATATTTAAGCAAACAGTTCAGAAAAATTCAGATGCAGAGCATCCTCCACCCCCCCGTTATGTGGTTAATGACACCAAGTTATATAGTCTAGATATTACTTGAAGGGAAATTCCACGAAACTTTCTGCTTAATTAAAGAGTTGGTGTGAAACGCTCCATTCTACAGTCAGAACTGTTCACAGTGGTGGTGATAGGAACCAGACGTCCACCTCTAAAAGCTCCCTCACAGAAAGTTCCTACAGGAAATGGTTATGAATTCACTGCCTGATGACTGAGACACTGTTTTATGATAGTTTAGAGAACTTAAACTCCATTCATGGTGGAGGGATACATGCAGGGCGCTGTGAGGCAAAATAGTCCCCAAAGAAAACTGATTATTTCAGATTTTCCACTATTTTCCATCATCAACATTCATATAAACTCAGAAGACTCGTGTAGGTTCACTGGTGGTTCTGGATAGTAAATAAAATGTCTATATTTCTGTATATTTCTGTCTATAAATCTGTGGAATTTCCCTTCAACTCTAAAGGGCTACAAGCTTTTAGGTCATGCCTACTTGGTGGGGTACAAGCTTTCATTGACAAATAAGTCCAAAATGGATTTATTTATGCATACAGAAGTTTACTGCACTAAAATATCAGGGTTGAATGAATTGGGGAAAATATCTAATCGCGGTTTTTCTGGTTAATATTCTGAGGGCAATAAAAATTGTGATTATGCTCTATAAACTGAGATCCAGGCCTGATATTTTGACCAAAAATACCTGAATATCTGCTGTTTTCTGGCTTAAGGCATGAACACTTCATATTGCATGTCTGACTGCTGGTTAGTTCTGGTTGTGATGTCACAGCACACGGGTTTCTGGTTGCTCTGGTTCTGAAAGCTTAAGCCTATGTCGCTGTTAATGTACACTCTTAGCAAAAAGGGTTCTGTATAGTACCAGAAAAGGGTGGTAACAATAGTGAAACCCCTTTTTTGGTGCTACATAGCACCCAAAAAGAGCCATACACAACACATTCTCCATCAATCTGAAGAACGTTTCACGATGCAAAGAACGCTCAAATCATGCAAAGGGTTCTTTGAGTGCTCATGGTGCTATGTAGAACCATTTTCTTGAATACAGCCCATGAAGAACCATCTTTAAGAGCCCAGGCTAATTAGAACGCTTTCAAACTGTGATTCTGATGTAAAACTGATTAATTCTTCAGCCCTGTTTTCTAAACCTCATCTGCAACCACCACAAAACACACCTCAGCTGAAATGTCAGGATTTCCTGATAAGCATGATCAGAAAAAAACAGGTAAAGGTCACAGAACCCCCCCCCCCAACACACACACACACACACACACACACACACACACCCCCCCTGCCCGGAACTCAAATATCCTCTACTCACCCACGCAGTTGTCACACAGGCTGCAGTGGGAGGTGCGCGGCGGCCGGAAGATCTTGCAGGTGAAGCAGTACTTCAGTTTAACCACCTGCTGGTTGATGACGACCTCTTTGGTGCGAGGGGGGGGCCGGTAGGAGGATGAGGAGCCGGTGGGGTTGTCTGTGAGACAGAAAAACAGGCTTCCAGCAGCGGCGCAAAATGTCACGGAACAGTCCTTCATGCAAAACATAAACAAGCTGAGAGAGTTTCTACAGCGCAGAGCCTCTGTGTTCAGGTTTCTCTTCTCCATTCAATCAGCTCAGCTTAACAGCGGCCAGACGACCAAGCGGCCAGACGACCAAGCGGCCAGACGACCAAGCGGCCAGACTCGGGTTTTATTCCAAAACACTTCAGAGACCAACTTAAAGGATTTTCTCTTTCGGTCTGATGAGTGTGTTTGTACACACCTTTCTGATCAGATGATTTTTGCATAATTTCCAAAAAATAACCATTTTTGTTTATCAGGAAATGAACGGCGGAATCATGCGTGCAATTATAGCAAAATCCTAGCAACCACCTGGGGTAGCTTAGCAACCAACTAGAAACACCTTAGCAACAACTTAGCATACCAACTGGGATAGCATACCAACTGGAATAGCATAGCAACAAATACATGTGTTCTGAGATTTGATGAGTTTATTGGCCATAACTTCCTTTTTACTCAACCGATTTTCACCACATTTCACCACAGATTAATCTAGGTCGCGTGGGCCGCTCTCACCATTTATTTCTAGTTAATAACTGTGTCTGCAGCTGATGTTAAAAGTTGAGTTCTGAGAGAAACACAATCACACACACATCAGCAAATCCATCCGTGTGTGCAATCACTTCTAAATTACTTCTAAATTACAGGATTACTTTATCTATCTGCACATATGGACACCTTACTGTACATACTGCACTGCTGCACACCTTATTGCACATCTTGCGCATCTGGACACTATTTCAATATCTGCACATATTTATTCAGCATTGTCATTATATACTGTTACCTGCTTCTCCTTGTACATTCATTACTGCACCGCCTTTTTATCTCAGGTTACAGATCTTACTGCAGATTTTTGTATATTTCTATATTTCTAGTTGTATATATGCCTGTAGATAGTTTTTTTTGTATATATTCTTCTTTTTATATTGTATCACCTTTATTATTATAACTTTCGTCTGTCTGGCTGTCTGTCTGGCTGTCTGTCTGGCTGTCTGTCTGGCTGTCTGTCTCTTTTAATCTTCAGGCATATAAAAACAGCAATAAACCACCCAAAACACAGCCAGCTGTAGTTGGCCTCCTATTCGTCAGCTTCTTGTTCAAATTTTCCCGTTCCACCTTAACTGGTGCAGCCACAGGAGCCAGAATGTAACTGCTGCATCATTTAAGGTGGAACGGGAAACTTCGAACAACAAGCTGGTGAATAAGTCTGTGTTCAGACTGCCAGCCCAAATCCGATTTCTGGCATATCCAGATTATATCCAGATTGATTTTTGACAGTCTGAACAGCAAAAAACATGAAATCTGATTTTGCTAATCTGATCCGAACCAAATTTGGAGGCGGCTTGAAACGTGACTGCAGTCAGATTTTTACAGATGCGTCTCAGTCTGGATGCTCAGATCGGATTTCAGAGTGTCTTTTACGATGTCAAATCCAGAGTGATGAAGTGCTGAGACTGAAGAGCTCCAAAGATTCATGATCATGAAGGGTCTGAGAGTTTGGAGGGCGAGATGATGCTCCTCCATCTCTCCTGCATCTGAATTTGAAATCACTATTGATTATTAGAGACGGCCCAATGCCACGTTTTCTCATACCATCACAGAAACTTTCAGCCAACACTACTAAACCATAAAATGAAATAATTTAGACCATTTATTTCTTTACATACCGTACCCAAACTACTAGTCACTCCCCTGACCCAGCCTCACTGTTATCATGCTTTTAATTACGTTATAATGTGACGCACTTTACCGCGTCTATAGTTCTACAAACAATTCTTACAGATTTGATTTGTAACATAATCGGATCAGATTAACAGTTTTTCCCTCCAGTATCAGATCCAGCCTTTTTCGCAGTGGTGCACTCACATCTCTATCAAGTACATCAGTAACAGAGTAATCTACTGATTATTCTGAGGATTAATCAGGTAATCCGCCTTAAACACAAGGCCAACCAACGAAACAGGCCTTAACTGAGAAATCAAACGGTACAGACCCTAAAACACTTTACTGGAAGAGTTTTATTTGTTTTCCCTTGGAAAATTACTTTTACTTTCTTGTTAGTTGCATTTTTATTTATGCTTTTATCTTGTGCATTTTAATTATTATATCCCCTTTTCTGCTATTGCTGTTATTTTTATTGCATTTTTTATTACTTGTTTATTGTATTTTTGATTATCTTTTCTTTTTCTTCCTCTGTTGTTTTTACTTTGTATGGTGAAGCACTTTTTTAGCTGCAATTGTAATGTATGGAAGGTGCTAAATAAAAAATACTATTATTATTATTATTATTATTATTATCATCTTGACCAGTCAGATCTCACAAGAGGTTAGGATAAGAAGTTTCTGTAATACAGCCCCTGAGGAAAATTTATTTCCTTCATATCGCAATATATATATTGAATAAAAAAATTGCAATGTTGTTTTTCCATTATTATGCAGGCTTTTGAAACCAAACTGACCTGGTAATTTTGTGCTTTTGTGGTCTCACCGTCCTGAACCCACATAAGAAATGTAAGACACAAAGAGAAAGAAGTGTGTGGACCCTCACCGATCTGCTTCTCGATGTCGGCGGCCTCCTCCGGCGTCGCCCTGGGCAGAATGCCTGGGTCAGTGAAGCTGGTCTGAAGAAGAGAGATGACCACAAACACGAAGAGGACTCCTCCGATCACGGGGATGAAGCCGGTCAGGTGTTTCACCAGGAAAGGGCAGCTGGAAAAAGAGGTCAGAGAAACCAGGGCAATGACTGATTGTGGGAAAGCTGCCGTGGAACAGCGATATTCCACCCCCGCAGTGTGGGAAATGCCCCTGGCATTTGGTGGGGGGGGTCCCATGTAGGCTGGCCACTCCAGTGTCGTCTGGCTGAGTCTACTACAGCTCCACCCTGAGGCAGAGCAGCGCTGCAGCTCTAGTTAGTTACAAATACCAGAGACAGAAGCTGATTGTGGGGGAAGCAGATAAACAATCAGCTTCACTGAATCTGGATTTGAGCAGCTATTTTACCCTGACGGACATCATAATGTCATAAGTTTATTTTGAGACATTCGGGGGGTCCAAGTGGGTAATTTCACACCATGCACCCCTGACCAGCTCAGAGTAAAGCTCTGGCCTCTCTAACACTGGTCACTGCAGTGTCCTGCTGTCTAAACGCTGAGCTGCTGAAGGCCGATTCCACACAGCGAACGTCTGAAACACTCACTGCCTCATTCGACAGGGAGCGAGTCAGCAGTGATTAACCCACATTAAGCATCCTCACGTTATTAATTACACATCTGAAGAGGCCTTAAAATAGAGTCAACTAAAGGACAGGAGCGCTTTCCATTCAGCTGCTGCACAGCAGTGTCAGGTGTGCTAATTGGTTAGAGGAATGGTTCACCAAACATTTAGAATTCAAATCATTTTATCTCTTATTCCAAACGTGGTCTATTTCACAAGACATGTTTAGTGTCCGAAGTTACGAGACAAATGGAGCTAAAAAGTATATATATATATATATATATATATACACACACACACACACTTACATTAAAAGTAAAAGTAGGTTTTTTTCCTTCTCCTGTCAAGTTACCATTTTAGAGATACAAGGTTTTGTTCAGACAGCGCATATATATATATATATATATATATATATATATATATATATATATATATATATATATATATATATATATATATATACATACATATACACACACACACACACACACACACACACACACACACACACACACATATATATACATACACACACACACATTTTATATACACTATTTACCTGGGCAGTAAGTTCGTTTTTGCTTGTAAAACTTTTATAAAAACAGAATTAATGCAAATAAACACTAACGTAGTAAAGAAAGAGTCAAAATAGTTGATATTTTATTAAGTGGTCAGACGAAAACAACTTCTCACTGGACTCCAGCTATTCCATGGATCTGTCAATCACCTGATTCAATTTAATGAAGTTTTGATTAGATAAAGCAGGTACTGGATGTTAATTGTACTGCACTTCCTCCAGAAGAGAGATGTGGTTATTAATATACATCAAATCACCATTTAGTGTATTATTGTGAGTTTATTTATTCCAACCTTTTTCCTTGCAAATAAACACCCAGAAAAACAGCTCATTAAAGGGGCACATCATAGAAACCTGAAATTTTCTCTCGTCTGAAAATAAGAGTTTGACATCTTGTGTAACTGTAAATTTGGGTAAAGTGGGGCAGGAAAATATGAAAAATGTAGGGAATGTGCACTTTAAATATCGTCTCAGGTGCCTAGGAGCTATTACTGTTTAAACATATATAAAACTACGAACTTAAAAGGTTCTACAGTGGTTCTTTAGTAAAGGCAATTGCTGTGGTTAGAACCATGAGTTCTAGATAGAACCATTTCATGCTTAAATTTTTTTTTTTCAGGGCAGTTGATGGAGTATGTGGTCCTATATAGAGCCTTTTTGAAAACAGATCCATATAGCACCAAAAAGTGTTGCTCTATCTTTACATTTTCGCTTTGGTGCTGCATAGAACCATTTTAAAATACAACACAGTCTCGTTCAATCTAAAAGAACCATTTCGCCATGCAAAGGACCATTCAAGCATGCAAATGGTTCTTTGAGTGTTCATGGTTCTAAACAGAACCATTCCCTTCACTAAAGAACACTTGAAGAACCATCTTATTTTAAATGTGTATACAGAACCATTTCACGCCTAAATGGTTCTTTGCATGTTGATTGATAGAAAATGTGTTTCATATGGTTCTATATAGATCCTTCTTGAAAATGGCTCTATATAGCACCGAAAAAAGGGTTCTGTTGTTGTCACAATCTCAAGCTTGTAAGAATAGCAGAACCCTTTTTGGTACCATATAGAAGGCTTTTTCAAAAAAGGTTCTAAACAGAACCATATACAAACATTCTCCATCAATCTGAAGAACAATTTCACCATGCAAAGAACCATTTAATCATGCAAATGGTTCTTTGAGTGTTCATGGTTCTGAACAGAACCATTCATCTCACTGAGGAACACTTGAAGACACATCTTTAAGTGTGTATACAGAATCATTTCAAGTTTAATCGGTTCTTTGTATGGTGACTGTTAGAAAATGTGTCGCACAGGGTTCTACATACACCCTTTTTGAAAATGGTTCTATACAGCACTAAAAAAAGGGTTCTGCTGTTGTTACAATGTCAAGCTTGTAAAAACTAAAGAACCCTTTTAGGTGTTACGCAACACATTCTCTATCAATCTGAACCAAGAAATGAACAGCTTAAGCACGCGAATGGTTCTAGATAGAACTCATAGCTCTAAACCCTCTGACTAAACACTAAAGAACCCTTGAAGAAAGTATAAGAAGCAAAAACAAAACGTGGCTAATCAACTTTTCAGGTGAGGAAATTTTCATTTTTGGTGAACCGCCCCTTTAATCTTTGATCTCAGCTCACTGGTGTGATGTTTGCTTACAGCACTTACTCGAATATGAAGAAGAGCCCACTGGTGACCAGGATGAGACCCAGGGTGAGGGGGAGGACTCCGCTCTGCCGGGCCACGATGATCCTCCCGTCGCAGTAGAAGCGGTTCTTGCCGGGGAACACTTCCCATTTCCTCTGCGGGCGCCGGGGCTTCTTCTCCGGGCAGGCTCGGGCAGAGGGAGTCGGTGCTGGAGTGGGAGTGGGTGTGGGAGTGGGTGTCGCCAGTGCCTGAGGATCTATCTGCTGGTACTCGCAGTTTTTCATGGTTCTACGACCTTCTCGAGGGCGCAGGACGTTCTCCAGATGTTCTCCAACGTTCTCCGGGCCCGCTCCTCACGCGCTCCCCATGGAGAACCTGCTTTAGACACCACCGCGGGTTTGAGCGCAGTCGTGCGTGATGTGACCGGAACTGTTTCTCAAAGCCATTACAGCTGGGCCTACGTAAGAGCGACGTCACAACCCTGATGGACCTGATCTACAGCTCTACTGCTCACTCGAACGTCCCCGTTCCACCTTAAACGGCTGTACCTGCCGCACCATTTAAGGTGGAACGGGGAAATTCGAGGCTGCTCGCGCTTTGCTCCGTGTCAGATTTGCCAGCCAGTGACGTCACAAACTCCACAAGCCCATGCATGCAATATAAGCACAGCAAACAGATGCAAACAAGCACACTTGAATGCCATGCGCTGCGCTGCGCCCACCGCTAAGCCTATATGGCACAATGAGCATGATAAACGTCACAAAACACAACCATACATACCCTTTAACACCCTTTAACGAGCTTCATCGCAGACCAGCGAGAGACGATTCAGAGGAACAGCGTTAAAGAGGGGAAATATAATATACAATAAAATAAACAAAGCTCGGTTTTGCCCTCACAGCAGGCTGGAGCCTCTGAGATCTCCTCCTCCTCGGTGACACAGGTATAATACCCGCTGATACCCGCTGATACCCCCGCCGAGCAGCGCGGTGCGTTCCCGCACAGAGGGCATAGCGACGTTTACTCCGGGCTTTTATTATGGCGTGCGGCAGCGTGGCGAGGCGGGTGACGTAGCGATGGCGTAGCGGAAGCAGAGGCCCAACCCCCTTTTCGGGTCACATGACTTTTTTGCATAGATTTGTACTCATTTCACACACCTGACCTGATTAAACACAAATAAACGTGTGGCGAAGGGGAACTCCACCGATTTTTCAAAAATTCTGCATAAATAAGTGGTTAAGATGTAATCAGAGTCGTTCAGGGTGGTTTAGTGTAAAATGCTCTGTTCCAGAGTCAGAACTGTTCACAGTGGTGGTGATAGGAACCAGACGTCCACCTCTAAAAGCTCCCTCACAGAAAGTTCCTACAGTAAATGGTTATGAATTCATTGCCTGATGACTGAGACGCTGTTTTATGATAGTTTAGAGAACTTAAACTCCATTCATGGTGGAGGGATACATGCAGGGCGCTGTGAGGCAAAATAGTCCCCAAAGAAAACTTATTATTTCAGATTTTCCACTATTTTCCATCATCAACATTCCATATAAACTCAGAAGACTCGTGTAGGTTCACTGGTGGTTCTGGATAGTAAATAAAATGTCTATATCTGTGTTGTAGTCATGGCGACCCCTGGTTCCTATCACCACCACTGTAAAGACATCTGAACCATTTCACACCAAACCGCTCTGAATCACTCTGTTTACATCTCACACACTGAATTATGGGGGAATTTTGAAAAGTTAGTGTTCATAAAGTTCATAGTATTTCAGTTTACACTATATATGTAATCGTAATAAAATAACAATTATTTATCTAAAACTCTGCGTAGTATATGACATCCCAAAACTATATGACTGAACAGACATTTTTTTATTGAAAGCAAAATATAGTACACAACATCAGATACATATAACACACATACATTTAACAGTTTTTACTGTTTTTCTTTTAAAGTGGGCTTAATTAAAAAAAAAGTAATAATAATAATAATAATAATAGATTGAATTTATGTAGGACTCTTTCAGCATCAACTCATGGTGCTTTAAAGAAACTAATGTTTACTTCTAAAAAAAATAAACAAACCATAATTAATTTAAAACACATCTAAAAAGAAAGTATCCAAATAATGACTTAGCATCTCAAATTAATGAGACAGTATCTCAAAAATATTAATTTGGTGTCTCAAATTAATGAGACAGTATCTCAAACTAATGATTTAGCATCTCTAATTAATAAGACAGTATCTCAAAATTATGATTTAGTGTCTAATTAATGAGACAGTATCTCAAAATAATGATTTAGCATCTCTAATTAATGAGACAGTATCTCAAAATAATGATTTAGCATCTCTAATTAATGAGACAGTATCTCAAAATAATGATTTAGCATCTCATATAGTATTTCATACATCTTCAAAAAGGTTCTACATGGTCATTGTCTCTACTAAAGAACCCTTGTAGAACCATGCTGTTTAAAGAGTGTAGTGTTCCGCGTTACTAGTAACATCTATTTTTATGAAGGTGACGACAGACACTGTCTGATTCACACTGTTTATTATCAGATCCAGTGAGCGAGACGTCTTTATTCCCTCAGCTGTCAGCAGAGTCGAGTTGTTCGTCTGTTCAGGATCGTCTGCCTCAGTCTCGGCTCTGTTAGGAAGGAAGGAGGAGTTTTAATCATCAGCTGTGTCTCCCGTATGTCTGAATCCGTCTGAATCAGTCTGAATCAGTCTGAATCAGCTAGGCAGCATCGGGAGCTCAGATCATGGATATTTAGTTATGACTGTAATCTTCGTTAAAACTACATACAACTGAAAAATATAATGACGAATACAGATAAATGCATTTTAAATATATATTTAAGAAACACATTTTTGCATTTTCACACATTGCAAAAATAGATTTGATACATACATTTGGGATATATTTTTTCTTCCATACGGGGCGGGGGGGCTAAATTTCAGCTTCATCAGCCATCGTTTGGCACACACTTAAGCAATGCCAATTAACTGCCCAAATGAGCTCCGATCGGACCGTCAGCCGTTTATCAGAGCAATGTGGGTTGGGTTGAGTTACAATTTTGCTGGGCTGGTCAGTGTCAGACTAAAGAGATCATGATGTGGTTCAGGTCGGGTTCTGGTTTTGACAGAATTTTGTTGAGCTCGAAACAATGGGCCTCGTTCACCAACCGTTTAAGAAGAAATTTCTTCTTAAACCCACTTACGCAGTTTTGACGAAGACTCTGACTCACCAGTGTTCTCTGATGTGGGGTTTGTTCTTAGGCAAGAACAGAGTCTACACACAGTCAAGAGCACAAAGGTGAGAACAGTTCTGCGCTTTAAGAACATGACATGAATCTGACACAGACTTTTTCTTAGGACCTTTATCAATAACACATTTAAGGACAGTGGGCCTCATTGTCCAACTTCGCCCTAAGTTTCCTAGGCCTGATTACAGCTGTACTGGAGGAGTGACAGAGCACACAACACAAAAAAATAGTCTTTATTATAATTAATCAGTTATTTCTCAGTAAAGAATGTTGCAGTCAGTCAAAAACTAACATGCAAATGAATACTACAACAAAATGTAAATAAAAACAAAAGGCAATGATGTGCAAATCATTTAAACCCTATATGTAATTGAAAACGCTTCAAAGACAACATATCAAATGTTGAAACTGAGAAATTTTATTGTTTTTTGAAAAATATTTGCCCATTTTGAATTTGATGCCAACAGCACATTCCAAAAAAGTTGGGACGGGGCAACAAAAGGCTGGTACAGTTGCGTAATGCTTAAAAAAACACCTGGTGGTTGATTGGCAACAGGCCAGTAACATGATTGGGTATAAAAGAGCATCTCAGAGAGGCGGAGTCTTTCAGAAGTAAAGATGAGGAGGGTTCACCACTCTGTGAAACACTGCACGATCAAATAGTGCAACAATTCAAGAAAAACATTTCTCAACATAAGCACTGCATTAAAAACAGACATGATTCTGTAGTGGAAATCACTGCATGGGCTCAGAAACACTTCTGAAAACCACTGTCTGTGAAAACAGTTCATCACTGCATCCATAAATGTGAGTTAAAACTCTAAAACACAAAGAAGAAATTAAATATAAACAGGATCCAGAAATGCTGCCACCTTCTCTGGGCCTGAGCTCATTTAAATGGACTGAGGGGAAGTGGAAAAGTGTCCTGTGGTCCGACGGATCAACATTTGAAATTCTTTTTGGAAATCATGGACACTGTGTCCTCCAGACTAAAGACCACTCAGCTTGTTATCAGTGCACAGTTCAAAAGCCAGTATTCATGATGGTGTAGGGGGCATTAGTGCACATGGCATGGGTGACGTGATCTGTGAAGACATCATTAATGCTGAACCATATATACATGTTTTGGCAACATATGCTGCCATCCAGACGACGTCTTTTTCAGGGAAGGCCTTGATTATTTCAGCAGGACGATGTCAAACCACATTCTGCATGTATTACAGCAGCATTGCTCCATATTAAAAGAGTCCGGGTGCTAAACTGACCTGCGTGCAGTCCAGACCTGTCACCACTGAAAACATTTGGTGCATTATGAAATGAAAAATACAACAAATGAGCCCCTGAACTGATGAGCAGCTGAAATCCTGTATCAAACAAGAACAGAAAAACATTTCACTTTCTGAACTACAGCAGTGTCTCCTCAGTTCACAAACGCTTACAGAGTGTTGATAAAGGAGAGGTGATGAAACACAGTGGTAAACAGGCCCCCGTCCCAACTTTTTTGGAACGCGTTGTTGGCATCAAATTTAAAATGGGCAATATTTTTCAGAAAACAATAAAATTTCCCAGTTTCAACATTTGATATGTTGTCTTTGTATTATTTTCAATCAAATAAAAGGAAATGATGTAAATGATTTGCACATCATTGATTTTGGCTTTTATTTACATTCTACACAGCGTTCCACCTTTTTTGGAAATGGGGTTGTAAAAAAGCCCGTTTCTCTGGGGTTCTTGGAATCATCAAGTTTGTTGTGGAGTTTTAAACACCTCAGTGTCACTGCTGGACTGAGAATAGTCCAGCAACCAAAAACGTCCAGCAAAACTGGAGACAGTTTTGATGTCTACCAGGTCTTCCAGATGGTTGTTAGGAGCCCCATTTTCTCTGTAGCTTTTAAGGATGTAGTTTTTTTTCCACTTATTATTATTTTGCTTTAATGTTCTCTTTCCTTATGCAAGTAGATTATCATACATCTAACCTTCTCAGAAATATAAGATTATATGAACGGTGGTCTCTGCAAGTGTGTGAGTATCTCAATGAGATGCCCCCCCACACAAAATGTACTTATCCTTACCAGCTCAGAGTGATGGGTGGAACATGGGGCACCTTTTTCCTTTTCAGCAATGCTTGGCAGTTTTGTGCGAGAGCAGATTTCCTCTATGCCAGCGCCAGCTACCAGCCTGAGTCACATTTATATACATAGAGTCGGTTATTCATTCAACCTAACGGGAAACCGTAGAACAGACTCAGTTTATATCACAATACCTACATTTAGAGTCGGTTATTCATTCAGCCTAATGAGAAACTGTAGAACAGACTCAGTTTATATCACAATACCTACATTTAGAGTCGGTTATTCATTCAACCTAATGAGAAACTGTAGAACAGACTCAGTTTATATCACAATACCTACATTTAGAGTCGATTATTCATTCAACCTAATGAGAAACTGTAGAACAGACTCAGTTTATATCACAATACCTACATTTAGAGTCGGTTATTCATTCAGCCTAATGAGAAACTGTAGAACAGACTCAGTTTATATCACAATACCTACATTTAGAGTCAGTTATTAATTCAGCCTAATGGGAAACTGTAGAACAGACTCAGTTTATATCACAATACCTACATTTAGAGTCGGTTATTCATTCAGCCTAATGAGAAACTGCAGAACAGACTCAGTTTATATCACA